GAAACTATTAAAATTCGAATTTTTGTAATAATAAATCACTACAATTATCAGTATCAGATTATTAGATTACATTAGATATTTAGATATATTAGAAATAATAAACTTATGAAAACCTCAACGTATATACGTATATTTCATTTTAATTTAAAAGCTTACAATTCTATTGATTTTAGCTCAGTATCTTGTGGGATTTCATTTTAGTCTATTTATATTATAAAGTGTATAATCTAAATATCTGCCAGTATTGAGTAAAAGTTTTTTAAAATTCTTAGACACAATACATGAAACTGTAGATACAACTTTTGTTGGATGACTTTCAACTTTCCTTACAAACAATTTCGCTTTTCCTTATAAACCGATCAACTGGCTCGGCCAATTTGTTTGAAACGGGAAACTTTCTGCGAATTTTAAAAGCTGTAGAACAAAAGTTGTTAAGTTTCACGTTCTGAATCACCATTTGTTTTGCATTATTTCATTTGCACGTTGTAGAATGGGCTCTTGTCAAAGTAGAGTGGATTAATTCTTGTTCGTCCCCTATTCCTTCAATTTCTGTTTCATACACGCACTAAGAGTTTTTAGAAGCATTCTGAAGTCATTGTAAATATTTCGATTTACGAGTAATATTATGCAGTGTTCTTGCATTTATTTATTCATTCATTAGTACATGGTGGATTTATATCCACCATGTACTAATGAATCAAAATCAAAATCAAAATTTATCAGATTACTAAGATATTTTAATTGTTGTTGAACCTTTAAAAAGTTCCCGTCACTTAGTGGTATTAACACTTACTGTCAAGAGTATCATTTTCTTTTAAAGCTAAAATTATTTTTAATGTGCTATTAGTACTGGAACGCACAAAGACATTTTATAATGTGGCCAAAGGAGGAGAAGTATTTTCATTAAAATTAGCAAATGAAAATCAAAAGTTTTCTAGTTAACTTAAGTAACGAATTTTGTTTTAACCAAAATTCGTTACTTTAGTTAGTCATTCATTATTTAAGAAGTTATAAAAGTTCTTCATGTTTTTCAGATGATTAGATATTTAAACTCAACCGCTCATAAATGGTTGTGCTATTTTCGATACGATTTATCAAATAAATAAAGTATTTCTTTCTATTCTAAATTGAAAAAAAAACTTTATTTCCTATTCTAAATTGTCCTATATATTAGAGAGAATTTTATGACTTCAATCAAAAAAAATAATATCGATAAATATAGAATTAAACCTATCAAATGCAAATAAAATCAAATTAGATTCACAGTTAGTAAAAATACTGCGTAACATACACACATATACAGAAAGAAATCGCTAAATAAAATTGTTAAACCTACCAGATTTATTCGAAGGCCAGGATACTAATATGTGCCTACTAACAATCTACTCACATCTCGATCGTACTCGTTTGTCGATGTCGATCGAGAGACGTTAAGTGTGATTAAACCTTGCACAGATAGCCGTATAGTGCTACGTAATTTAAGTGTTTTCGAATTTCGGCGAGCACATAAATCCAGCATACTGGTGGTGTTTTCGCTACATTATTACCTAGCGAAAGTCGCAGTCACATATTTTTAAACTTAAAAACTCTTATAGTAGCGGCTATCCATTATAATTTATATTGAGTCTGCATTGTGTAATAACTCTTGACCTTCTCTATGGTTGTAATAAATGTAATAAAGAAATTATGAATAAAGAAAATGTAAAAGTCTCTTTTTATTTATTTATTTATTTTATTCTTTATTTTTAAAACTTTGTGCAAATGGCGAACTTAATGCTATATGGCATTCTCTACTAGCTGACCATTGGGTAAAAACAGAAAGCGTATGAAGGGCAGATGTGGTGAAAAATATGTGACAATTATAGTAACACATTAAGGCAATACACAATATAAAAACATATAATACACATAAGAAATGCACATATAATAATAATTAATATATATATGGATAATCTAATGCATATGAAATATATATATATATATATATGGAACCTTCAAAACTAACTAATGATATACTAACTATCCACAGAGAGATATCGTCATTAATATTATAATATTACATAAAAGTTAGTAAATTTGTAAGTTTGATTAATATACAGTATGTATTTATATCCCTTTTCTTTCCCGTGGGCGTCGTAAGAGGCAAATAAGGGAACTTAATGGTCGAAACAGCGTCCCTTTAAAAATATTACCAAAAAAACAACTTCGGTTGCAAACCTGCATACCAAGCCTGACAACTACTGACAAAATCTATAGATTATATCATAATGGCTTATGGGGAAGGTCTACGTTTAACAGTGGATAGTTAACAGCTGATATGAATCATGAATGAATGTACTTATATGTTGCTTTACATCTTCCTAATCTATTAACAGTCCCATCTTAATACTGAAAACGGATCTCAAATAAATGAATAGATATACACATAAGTCTTCAGCTAACTGGGATAGACGCATATATTATTCTGATATTTTTCTTATTTGAATTATATATAAACATAGATAATCTCAGAATTAGAATTACAATCGAACTACACTTAAATATAGAATAACTATCATGTAATCTCTATACTACTCTAGATATATTAAGTACAAGTTAAGGTAAAACAATCCTCTTATAAATATACATTTTAAAAATTTACTTTTACACATAGATTTTGTGATAATCTTAAGGTTCCAATCATCATGATTGGACGCGGATTATCACCTATGAGCCAACTACTAGTACAATTCATACAAAACATGACTATTTTCTAAATTCAACATCAGTTCAGTCAGGCTTTTGAACCCACTGTTCTTTGCTTTATAAGTACAACATTTCAGACAAAGCACTCTTGGCATAGTCGCTCGTTAATTGCTATGTAATGTTAAACTGTTATATTACCAAGATAGTCGAAAAAGTTCAGTATAAAAGTAATATGCAATTTTGCCCCAAACACGCTACCTAATTAGTGAATTCTTAAAAGTAAAATTTTTAAATAAACATTTTCTTGTTTCTGTACCATCTAAATTATTATCTGCACGAAGAAAGCCGAGGATATAACTAGTAAATATTAATGCATTCGAAGCTCCCCTAGAGAGATTGATTTCGGGGAAAGATCCTTTATATACATTATTTAGTATGTCGTTTTATTGCTCAAAGCTAATAAAAAGATTAACGGATGTTTTTACCGTATCGTATCGGGGTTAAGTTCCATAAAAGAACAAAGGTCGAAATTGCGCACATTGAGCACATACCATCTAGTAAGCCACTTTGTAATAAACCCAAACATATGGAAGAGCGACCTCGTCTCCAAAAGTAATATTTCACAGAATTATTAAATGTAGCAGACAATAAATCAGTGAAATTGTGCAGCCCTCCATGTATTACAGTTGTTATACTCGACAATATCAGCGTTCAAATACGGGAAATGACACAGTGTACACTCTAGTGCTCTGTAGCCATTCTGTAGCACATTAAACTGTCAGCTCATATTTTCTTTAGTTAACAAGTAGGTATTTAATTTTCCTCATAACAAAAACGCTAATAATGGCTTACTAATAAAATCACTAACCATCAATCGGGACTGATCACGCATTTTGCCTAAAGAGATCAAGATCTAAATTGTTTTCATCCATTCAAATTAGAAAACAAAAACAAACCTTAATATTACAAATGTGAAAGTGAGTTTGTTTTCTTTTATCTTTGTGCATTAAAGGCTCAAATCAATTATCATAAAAAAGGTGTATGTATACTATTTGCGAGAAGGATTAAATGACTAAAAAGAGTGCATTAAGAAGAATATCCTGAATTACCAACATAATCTTATACGGACGAGGTTGCGGGTAGCTAATATCAATTAATAGAGACAGAAAAATTGAATCACATTTTAACTTTCAGAGACTTTGTACAAAAATCGTTTTTTTGGATACCTCTGTCCCATTCTGTATTTCGCTTTAAAGAGTGGGATATGGCAGTGAAATTATAGAATACAGAAGCATTTATGTTTTAGAACTTATGCTACATGACAGAAATATGAAGGGTGTTTTAATGAATGATAAATATACGGTACCTACCTACGCTATTGGTATATGCTGGCAGAGCACCAGTGAGAGGTGATAGGTGAAAGTAAAAAGGCAAGTCAGTTAGCTCATCGTGATGAATACACTTAGAATTCAGCGCGATGGTTTCCAGGGGAACTTTGTGGAGGTCGACCTGACAAAGTATATTGCTAACAACAGGACTAATCGTTACTAACAATCCCTACCCCCAACACATGAAGGGTATTATAGGGAATACAATATATTTTGTTATGTCCATGGTACTGTTCATATCTATAGCCGACGGATACCACTTTCTATCAGATGGGCCGTCAGCATGTTTGTCATTCTAAGTTGAATAAAATAAAGTACTAAAATATCATTTAGTCAAAAGTTTTAATATAACTAATCATATTAATTTAAATATATTTATCAACTTAGTATTATTGCTTATTAAATAGATAACACTTACATGAAACAAACAACGAGTAATTTTTTTGCGGTTGTAAACAATACGGCTGCGAATAAGCGCAGTTTAACTTAATTTAACCATTTGTGAATGAACCACGTTTCACAGATTTTAAAAGTCTGTATTTATATGTACTTATTATGAGATAATAGGTACTTCTAAAATTTATTGTATTACGGCCCTGCTTTCCCCATTATATCATGACAATAAAATCGCGGCGTACTGTATCATGTTACGGTAAATTACAAAAACGTCCCATAGCCTACCATTTGTATGTATTTAAATGAAGGTATTTAAATTATATGTAAATGAACTAAAAACAAAATGTATAAGTATGTCTTTAAATGATCATGATGATAATACCAAAACACTTTACGTTTCTTAATCTCTTGATATTTTACGAACATATTAAACCGCATTTTTTATAAAACATTGTGGCGTGACAAGCATTTTGTTTTGCTGAATCACTATGTGTTATTGCAGTTGTCAACAGTGTTTTTCTTTATTTACAGTATACGATGCTTCAGGGCAGTACATTCCCAATGTGATGTTTGGGAGTGACTTCTGGGTGGGTTCGAAGAACGCATGTCGAGACTTGCAGCTGAAGCAGTACTACGCACAGACGCCGCCGTTCGCCACCAACTTCTACGTGGCTAAAATTAACATCAGTCTCGACGGTGATCATCTCCCTCAAGTAAACTTCACATTTCCTTATTACAACTATAACAAGCATAACAATATCGTGCGTGAATCGATATTACTGTAAAGTCACGCAACTCTTAAAATAAAAGTTTTACTACATACTTAGCAAAATTTCTCGAATTTCTGTCGATATGAACTTTGCTGAAAGTTTAATCTTTATAGCCGTCTAAAATTTACTTAGTACGAAGTGACTTCTTGTGACATGATTGACATAAAGTGCTTACTTAAACAAGCGTAGCTAGACTTAAGAGTCGGTATCTACCAAAGTAAAGATGCACGATAAAACAAACATAAAATAATAAGATCTTTGAAGATTTTGCTTCCCATGCTTAATATTAAAGTATCTATTAATTAGACGAAAATGAACCTAAATACATAAAGATATTTAAATAAAGATAATTAATTATACGTCTTATTTGTATGCTTCGTTTGAAGAAAAGTCATGTTTATTAAATAAAATTCATAAGCAACGTAAACAAATGAATGATTATTTATTTGTAATAATACAACAGTGAATTCAATTTGTAGATTCAAGTGTTTTACGAAAGTCATCTAAAACACATAATTTTAATAAAAAATTTATAAAATAAATATTTATTTTACATTGGTATATCACTAGAAATAAAAAAAAATATTTATAATTTTTATATCTAATAACACTAAATAAAAAAACATCATACTTACCTTATATAATTATAAAAAAAAAAATCCACGCATGCATTTTTTAAAGTTTAAATGTTAAGATATTACAAATTTGTAGCTCAAAATTAAAAAATACTTTTTATTAGACAAAAAACTGACTCATAATTAAGTATCCGTGTAATATCGGAATAAGTTCACAACATGTTACCACTTCTTTTCATTCTCAGGATGTTTTTTCTCGTTAGCGTTGTATAAAAAGAACGCGAAATATTAGTATCCTCGCCTAATGGGGCGTCCATGTGGAAAAATGGGACGATAATAGCTTATTATGGAATTAATATTTCATTTTGGTGTATGCTACAGGGCAGGATAACTTTGGTTGGGGAATGTTTACCAGCATCATGCAACTCAGAGGCAGTAGCAATGTTCTTGGCAAGCGCAGAGAGGTTAGCGGCGGAGCGCGCTTCCGAAGCTGGCTTCGCTGCCACTATCCAAACATCTGATGTGCGGAAAGTTCCCGGCGCATACTCTTTACTATCTGATTACAAGTTTTGCACGCTCATGTAAGTGAATTTATATTTTGTTTAAAGCTAACCCTTGCTTTTTACGATTCCGTTATGATGTTGTTTAACGGTCTGTCTGGCTATCTTTCCGTAACTTGCAGCATCATAACTTTTGCTGCTTAAGTCTGATCTACATAAAACTTTATAGGGAGATGTAGGAGAATAAATTTTATTCTTGAATAAGTAAATAATTTCCATTAAAGATGTACTAAAATGTTCGTATGATAACAAAGTAAAATAATTTAAGATTGTGTTCCAGAAAAAAAAACTATTTCAGTTGTAGCAAAATCAGTAATTTTGATTAAAAAATTAAACTACTAAACCAATTTTGATAAAATTTCTATGATACCAATCTCTAAGTATATCCTTTCAGAAAAAAATAGGTTTCTAAATCAGTTTATAACTGACGGAGTTATAAGGTAACAAACATAAAAAAAATACTACTGAATTGAAAATACTACTGACCTATTTCTTTTTAAATTCGGTTGAAAAACCAGTGAATTCATTCGCAAAAGAAATAACATAAAATAATTCTATCAATTGTTAAAACAAAAAAAAATCTGTTCAAAAGTAAGCGTGAGAAATAAAAAAAATAATGCGAAAAATAGGATTTTGATGAAGCTTTCCATCCAATGTCATGAATAAGAAAAAATTTATTTTTTATTTGTAATGGATAAAGTCATAAATACTTAACCGGTTTTTAAAAGTCTTTTATGTATAGATATATTTTCAAGAAACCGTGCGAAGCCAGTGCTAGTAAATATAAGGAAAAACCCAACCATTGAATAAAAAAAGTATCGTATTATTACAAAATCATATAACATTTTTTATTGTTTGTCTTGTCTATACTTTTAAAAGTAAAGTTCGCGGCTTAATTCTTTCATGTGCGTGTAATATAATGATGATATTGCTGTATTTTTAGCAAATAGTATTACCTGTGTAAACCGATTTATTCTGCAGTTGCGCAAACTGTCAAGTTAAACAACTTTTTGTACTAACTACCTATTCGCGTGTGCCCAATACAATCTAGCCAATACCAGAATTTTAAGTAATATTATAAATGTGAAAATGAGTTTGTCTTTTTACGTGTTCTTAAAGACGTAAAGGATAGGCCATCGTGAATATTGGTATAGACGTTATATTTAAATGGAGATACATATATGCCACTTTATTACATTCATACCGAAATACGGTCACACAAACAAAGTCGCAAATAATAACTAATATATAAAAATGTACTTAGTTATTAGTACTACGTTTATATTCAGATTTTAAAAATTTAATTTTTATCTGGTCGCTCACCACTAAGGATTATAATTAAAACACCTTTAGTTCACACAATTTTCTGTGAAAATGGCCGTGGTAACGTGAATATTATGGAACGAGTTGCAACGCTGTCCTGCTAAGTAAACTTTTATATTTTGCTTTTTATTTCACTTACATTTTTTAAAAAAGGGACGTTGTTCTTAAATAATGTAGCTAGTGTAGGTAACATGTACATAATAGACATTACACTACAGTTTTTTAGAACAAAATATATTCTTCATATGTCAGCCAACATATTTCTATTCTTTTCTTTTATATTATTGATTATACTGTGAATAGGAAACATAGTGAAGTTCCGCCTAATGGAAAGATCTATAGATTGTAACATATAGATAGAATGGGTGACACTATATAATGTCCATGGTGTTACATACGATACATTTGTTGTATTGTAATATATAGTGCCCTAAATTTTATCATGAGTAAATTGGTACATAATATAAAGTCTTAGACCCTATTAATGAATATTAAGTGTGAAAAAGATTAGACTCTTAAATGCTAACTCAATCGTATCAAACTTAAACAACGTAACTTGAACTCAGTGGTACACATTACTATACTATTGATTTAAATAAAGCATAAATGATAATTTAATTTAAATTAAATAAACAAAACAAAGCGATACGTTATGCACGACGTTACGAGTATTCACTGTTCTTTATTGACGACCAAAATATATTGACCAAAATTGATATATCCAAATTCATAATGACTGATTGAAGGCAAAAAGATAAAAAACAAACTTATTTTCATATTATTTACATTTTTAATTTTATATATTAGTGGCTATTTTTAATAGCTAAAATGCACAGCTTAAGCTCATTTCACAAGCTAATAAATGTTTTTGTTTTATTTTGTATCTAAACTTGGAACAAATGTTTTAAAAGGCACACAAGTATTTGCGCTAAGTGGTCTTAATGTGGGTATCAAAAATCCGTGACCCTTGAAAAGAGGGGATTTGTTACATTAGACCAATGGGCCGTTGTCGGGTTTATTCGTCTCAGTAATTGCTACTTCTAAGATCATATACCACGAAATCAAGTATCGAGGGTAAAAAATAAACCAAAAACGGTTACTTAGAAATGAATTTTGGTTGACATATTTTTTAAAACAATATAAAGGTGCAATTTTTCTATAATTCGTATAGGAATATATATATATATATATATATATATATATATATATATATATATATATATATATATATATATATATATATTACAAAAACGTATTAAATATAGATTAAAATGATCGATGAAAACAACCTTCATTATAAATATATACGCTCTGTCTACCCTGTTCTTTCAAATGGGGACATAAGAATTTTGTATTATTTTTATTTTTAGACTTAATCTTACAATAGACATTTACAATGTTACGCACACAAAAATAAAAAATAGACTCTTTTTGACGAATCGTTTGTAACAGGACACTATCTAGAGGTCTATACGAGATCTACATGTGTGACTCATATTTAATAAACTACATTTTCACAGGACAGTCGTGAGCGTAATATTCCTCCTGATGCTCACAGCTTCATTATTCGAGGGCTACTTGGAGAGGAAGTACCAGCTAGCAGCAGCAGCACGTGACCTCGAGCTGGCACATAATGACACCACTCAAAAAACTGTTGGTACACCTCATCATATTAATTTTATGCAAAATCTCCATTCTTCTTTTTAAGAGATATTTCCATCTCTTATCTTCCACCATTCTTCATAATTATTACTTTTGTAAATATTCCAGTATAAAACTGGAAATGTGTAAATTAATTTCTCATTCCTTTACTAACATACATAAGTAAACTGACTAAGAATAGACACAAAAAACTGTCTTATTAATAAAACAATATGTTTTCAGACAATCTCTAGGATATATGTAGATATATAAATGGACTCTTCTGTCTTAAACTCCAGTCATATTGTTATTCATAAGTAAGCATATTCTGTAACATTTAGATAAGTAGTCAGTACTGCTAAATATTAGTTTCAGTTCGTTAACTTAAGAACAGAACCCGTGTCCATGTCAGAATATGTCAGTTCTGTCAAACTTTATTTCAAAGGGTTCAAGTCACGTTCTGGTTTCCAGTTATTGTTCTCAGTTACTTTATAAGAAAAAAAATCTATTCTCAAAATATAAACCAGCTAGCTACCAACTTACCTAATGACGATCCACTAATTGAATACACAAAGCAAGTAATAACTACTTATAAAGTCATACCATTCACTGATTTTTTAACGAAATATCGGAACCTTATAAAGTCTGAAAACATTTTGCTCCAAGATTTTTCACTTGATATTGATCCACTGAGAATGGGTTTTTGGAAATACCCAAGGGAACAGTAAATAACGCGCTTCGCGTTTGCCAAGCCTTACTGTTTCAGATTTAAGATTTCAGTGCATTATGATGTACCTACTAGCTATTTTCCGCAGCTTTGCCACCACGTTATCCGCTTATCTTCCATTCCTGTGGTATTTTCAGAAATTTCTTATATAAATGGTTTATGTATTCTCCCACAGAGAATACATAAACCATTTCACTCTGATTTTTTTTATTTTTATAATAATAATCACAAAATTAATTAATTTACCATACATTTATTATCAAAACTTGTTGATTATTATACCTAATAGAAGAAAAAGGTGATTGTACTTCATATAGTAGAGGAGTAAAGCTGTACTTAAATATAGTCTATGCAAGGTTTTATTGAACGGTTCTACCAACCGAGGGTAGTTTCCATGCGATTGAGCGTAAGGAAGACAAAAATAACGTGTCGCTTTAGATAATAAAGGACATCTACAAAATTGACCCATCTAATGGGATTTAATGATGTATGTATACCAAAAGAAAATGAAAGTTAACCTTTTTTTTATTAATACTATTATTATTTAACTTTCTTTATATATGTATGTATATTATAGTATAGTATTTAGTTTTGAGCAGATTTTTTTTATAAAAAAACGACTGTAGTTGCATGTAAAATAATATTAATGAGCAACAGAGTCAAGAACATTTTAAGTAGGTTAATCAACTATTTTTATAATGTACGTACTAAGGCTTTGAGAATTTATAATTGCAAGCAACATCATTTAAAATTACTGAAATAACAAATATAATTACCTGATTTTGTTCCATCGCAAGTTAATAATATCATTATTTACACAATATTTATTAAGATACAAATAAAAAAATTACTGTCAAATTACAAACAAGTCTGTTTTTCAATTAAAGCGTAACCACAGTGAACAGAATTCTATTGTGCCTCTAGATTTAAGATACGTATGTTTACAGAATAATAATAATGTACCACAAACCGATGAGAAACGCAAAGAAGACGGAGACAATAATGAAAAAGGCCCTCGACGAGAAACCTGCGGTAAGTCATAAGAGACGCAATTACATATACACCAGCACACACAAAAACGTTATATTTTTTGAGTAACAAAGAATAAATATTTACAAAACAAATTATATCTAACAATATATATTTCCTGTATATACCCAAGAGCTGGTAGCTACTTTGCCCAAAAGATAAGTTTGGCAATCCAAAGAGGTAATGCTGCCAGTATCTTGGGTACGCTGCCTCGGTGTGGTGCGTTGGGAGATTACTTTTAATTGTTATTAGTATTTAAGGAATTTTGTAAAAAAAAAAAAAAGAATTATATTTGTATTAGACTTGGAAAAAAAAAAAAAATATTTCCTGAAACTTAGTGTTATTATCAGATGTTATTTAAGGTACATAACGTTACGATCCAATAAAATACAGCGCTGAAACCTTTGATTCCAGGATTAAATTGAATTGAGTGTAGCTCACGTTACATCTTTATTATAAATTTATTTTTTACATTCATTACTTTTTTCTTTCCTGTTATATTTATAAATGAGTTTTATATTTAATATATTTCTAGTTTCAAGTAAATATATGAAATGAACGCGCTCAGTGTGTAAAAGATCTTAATTATTAGGCATTTACCGGTCCAATAAGCTACCCAAATAAACATTGCTCTACCGATCAAAGGTATTTTAACGTGTCTTTCATAGCTATATAGTTTTTGACATTTGTTGAATTCATTAAGATTATCTGTAAATATCCTCGAATTGGAATCTCTTGTGCAGGAAAATTCTTCAAGAATCCTTCTCGGAATCTGAACGATTTCTAACTTGCCCGTATGATTAAGTGTAAGACCGTAATAGATGTTTCTGTTCTAAGAATTATCTCCCCTAACAAGCAGAACTGTTTTTAGTTTTTGTGATATATACATATATAAGAACATGTTTCATAATCACTGTCTTACATGAACTTATTTAAGATTTTCCAGTGGCGCCTGACCTTTTAAAAAGGACGCATATGTACTCTCAGATATATCTTTACGCATAACTGAAAGCTCCGCTCAGACGCTTTCTGGGCACGGGTTACCCGACTACCTTTAAATACGCCTTTGCTGCCCTGAGAATTTATAGTGACAGTGTCCTGAAAGAAAGAGATGAGTCGACTTGATCGTATAGAGATAGTTTCTCAACCTTTTTTTGCCCATCTCCCACTTTGCCAATATTTTATTTTCTAGAGTCGCCCGTCTTAATTTTACTTCTATCTGCATTTTTAGACTATATTTTTTTGTCTGCCCATGTCCCTCCGCGCCATCTCAATGATGAATAATTTCATTTCTTCCTCCATTATTTTTTTCTAAATCTTCTACTGCCTCTCCTGAAAGTCTCCTGAACAGAAACATCCACAAGGGAACGTTTTCGCCCACATTTTAACCTTTAGTATATACCAATAGTATGTCATTGGTGAATTATCCAAGGTATTATCATTCCAAAAAAAACCTCTCGACAGACGTACATTTACGTAGACTGACATGGTATCTGATTTAGGTGACTATAATGCAGTTCATATTTCTACTCCTAAATGTTTTTTTATAAAAACCCCAGATACAGTGGCAGATTGTTCTCTTCAGTTTTCTCTAATCTAATGCCGGAAGGTCTAAGTCTTAAAGCCAATTTTTATGTTCTGCAGTAAACTTATATAGCCCGCTAATAATAGCCTTACATTGGCAATTCACTTTGATTTTAGTACTGACATAATGTTAATATCATATCTTATTAACAGATCAATGAAATTTATCGGTAAAGATCAATAATTTGTTGTAATCTAAGAAATATTTCCTAAATTATTTTTAATCTGAAAATTGAATCTATAAAGCATGACACATCCTTATCTTGTGTTGATGTTTGTTGTTCCCCATAATATTCGTTATCCCTAATTAAAAAATAGGTAACTAATAAGTTAAACTTGTAATTCGTCTAGAGAAATATTTTTATATTTAAAGTAATATTAATAAAATATGTAGGTAGGTGCTATAGACCTACTTTTTGAAAGAGTTTATTTAGTTAATTACCAAGTGACATTGCAATAAGTGAAATCTAACATTTCATAATTAACCTTCTTGCTGTCGTATTTAGGACAAACGAACAATTAGCTAACCTTTATCTTTTATTACACCTCAGTAAATAAGAAAACCTCTCGTATGTTGAATTTAATGGTATTTTCTTCTTCTCTTTACATTACAAAATCTTTTTACATTACAAAAGAGTAAAACTAAGAGCAAAACCTATAATTACTATTGACACAAGGGTCAAGCTTTTCACGAAAATCATACTATTTCGATTAGAAAAAAGCATTATGAGTACACAAGCGAGCTGTCAGATAGTTATTTATTCAATAATAGAATTGTGATTTATTCCTAGTTTATGTTTGTTGCTGACTTTACTAACAGATCTAATGGTTGGCAGCTAAAATATCCTGCATTAGAAAACAGAAAAATATGTGGGGATTTTATGATATTCAAATATATATATACTTCTTCAAATTTTATGAAAAAAGTCTAAGTCACACAGTTAGAACAAAATATGTACATGTTTGAAGTTAAAATTGAAGCTGTGTGATAACGTAACGTCAAACAAAAACGATGTCTTTGTTGTAAAATAATCAACATATCCAGTATTTGTATAGTTTTGTATTATTATATAACATTTTAATAATATATGCTCAGAATATAATTAAGACCCAATTATTCAACCCTGCATAAATAAAAATGAGCAAATCGCTCCATATTTGTTTTACGACTATTAATTTTGAATAAAAGGCGCATTAAACGTTACGTTATCTAATCTATTTGAAATCTGCCCACTTAAATCCCTATAATGAATTTCAAATCTACTCAATAACAGTTCCGTCGTCAAAAGCGACTTTTCATTACAATTTTCTCCCCCAAATACGGTAACTTTTTCAATTTAAACCGATGTAAACAAAAATGTACCCTGTGTTGTGTAGATCTTCGTTTGAATTTAGAACACGAGACGTATCGTAAAATTGCTTTACACATTACGAATTTTAGACATACTCGTATTTATAATTTTGGCTTCTCATACTCCATTATAATGATTTACTATATGCAATCAGTTTCAGATTTTCATAACAACATAATAATTTCAGTACTTAATAAATATACTTTTTTGTACAGGAATTTGGGCAGAATTGTTACTGTCATTTTCAGTACTTTCAAATGGTCGTACCATTCTCAGTATACATCGAGCTAGTGACGGAGCTTTGACCAGTTTACATGGAATAAGGTACTTCATTATTAACCATATTTAATTTAATAATTTTGTATGTTCATTCAATTAATGTAACTAAAGCCACCAAATAAATGTAATTAATGTCATTAAATCGAGATTTACAACTACCACAGGTATGCATTATCATAGATTTAGATTAAAAAAAAAATATTATCATCCTAGCCTATAAATGCATTAAAATATCTTATTATCGAATAAAGATTCCCCCATATATTTTATTTTACTTCTTAGAAACATTCTAATTATATCTTGACATGTGAATAAATATTTTATAATTTTTTTCTTATTTTCAGATTTTTATCCGTAACGTGGGTAATTATGGTACACACTTACCTTACCGTCTTTTATATATCCGATAACAAAACTATGAGGGTTGTCACCGAACGAAACCTAATGTACCAATCTGTCGGCAACGCATCTTATTGTGTGGATACATTCTTTTTTATTAGGTTTGACATTTTATCTTATAGTTATAAACAATTCATATACGTACGAGTATATATATACAGCAACAATCAACAAATGCCTCTGAATGCCTCATTAGAGATTTTAAACATGAGCATATTTTTATGGACATAAAAAAACTTTTACTATTTTATTATGCATAACTGCTAACAAAGGGAGAGTGGATTCTCAGTAATGGAAACTTAAATCTCCATTGCTAGTAATATACCATATCAGGTCGATCATCATGTGAATCGTTGAGCGTGTTAATTCCAAATGAATTCGTCACAATGGGCCTACTGACTTGACTTTATGCTCGCCTATCGCTCTCAAGGGCAATAGACGGGAATGTACTGGCCAGCGTAAATCAATAGCGGACGCGCGATTACCATTCCATTTTTTTTTTTTAATAAAAAATACTCACAATGTTTATAATTATGTATTATTATATTTCAGTGGCTTACTTGTGACCGTGTTATTTCTAAGAACAGAAGAGAAAAAGAAAAAAAGAGCAGAGGCTGACAAAGAAGATCTTAATAAAAATCTTAATGGTTTTACCAATTCGGCTTTATCAGTTTCCGTTATAAGCCAGCAATCATTTAAAGATGACATGCTCGACAAACCAAAGAGTAAAATGTGCACAAAGAGAGAATTGTTCAATAACATCAGATCATTTTTCGTGCTAATTTCATATAGAATTGTGAGATTGACACCAGCGTATGCTTTTGTGATTTGGCTGACACAAATTTCTTTCACTTATGTATACAATCAGAGTGCGTTTGAGCCAGCTATAGTAGATCACTTGACATGCGACGCATACTGGTGGAGGAACTTACTGTACATCAATAACCTATACCCTCAACGTGAGATATGCATGGTCTGGTCTTGGTACATGGCAAACGATACTCAGTTCTATGTGGTTGGCATTATTATTTTGTTACTCTCAGTAAAGTAAGTATATAGTGTAATTTTTAATGATATCAAATCCTATCCTATAATTTCAAATCTTTCAAACGTAAAATGAAGAATAATTTAGTGAGCCGGTATAATGCGGCCAACTATTGCATTGAAAGTAGCACATTAAGTAGATATTATAAAAAAAAAAATGCAAACAAAGCTCATCCACCACCTGATGATAACTGATAACCATAACTTATAGACACGAACAGCTCTAAGGATATCACAGAAAACACAATGGTGCCCATGATACCACTCATGCATTGACAACGCAGTGATACTGATTCCCGACGTCTATGGTGTTTGCCCATTCTTCAACCCGAAATACAACCATGCTAGTACAATTACTTCACAATTGAAACACGTGTGGTACAGAGGAATGTATCTATACAGATAATTTTTATACAAATGTAATGGAGGGACCACCGAAAACACATTTGTATTACACAAATGTGTTTTAGTGGTATTTACCAGAGGGAGACTTAATACAAACCTCATCAGCTTGAATACCTCTGTACCATTTGTGATTCTGCCGTGAAGCAGTTGTATTTACATGGTTGTATTTCGGTTCAGAGGTAGGGATATGGTAACGAAATTATAGCGTAAAGAGACCAGGCAGGAATGGTAACGTATCATGGGCACACAGTATACTCTGTTATGTCCATTGTACTATTTATATCTATAGATGACTATTACCATTATCCATTAAGTGGGCGTCAACTTGTTTGCCAAACTAAGTTGTATAAATAAAGAAATTACATATACGTTTTTAAATATGCTTAGAATTTTTTTAAGAGTCTTGTATTAAATTGTTAATTGAATTGAATTTTAAATTAGAACGAAATCATTATAACAAATAAGAAAAAAATACGACTGAATATTTCATTTCACTATGACAAAGAACCGCCTTTTATTAAAAGACTTCATTTCGGTTGGCTTTTTCTACTAATTGAATAGCCTCTTAACAACATTTACCAAGGGGAACTGATGACATTTGAATCGCAGTGATGAGAGAACGAATTTTTCATGTTACTGCTAATATATTTAAATATTCCTATGATTATAGAAACTGAAACTATTGTAACATATAATATTAAAGTATTCACTGAACTAATTTCAGATTTATTATATATTTCTTCTGCAGGCATCCAAAGTTTGCATCGATATCACTGGGTGTTGTCTTGGTTAGCTCTTGGGTGACAACCATATATATCTCAGTGTGGCATCAATATAAAGCAAGAATACAAGAACCCTTCGAAATGTTCGACGCACTTTACGACAAGCCGTGGTCTAGAATCGGTCCCTATTTAGTCGGTAAGATGATAAAGACTTCAACTCTCTATACTCCTTGGGACTTCACATAACCCTTGAACGGTAAACGTTTACTACAATCCTCATCGATTTCTTACAAAAAAGCTGTAGTTTGCTTCTAAGAACGTATCGGTTATCCCTTTTATAGGTCAGTGAGCCCGTCATAAAAGCGGCCCACAAAAAGCAAATGACTGGATTGAACAATCCGATAATTTCAGGCCCCCGACCGAATGGTCGGAACTCGAGATATCTTTTAAACCTTAAATTATTTTTATCCTACATTAATTTTAAATTACATTGACAATTTATAAAAATTGATAGATAATTGAAAAATAATTTTAAAAAGCTATGTTTTAACTACCTGCCTGTTAAATTAAAATCTGCGTTACCTTTAATAATTATATCTCATAATTTCTAAACAGTTGTTTTGAATCGTTGCGCAAATGAGGCCGAATTTAATTTATTATTATTCACAACAGCACTCGTCCTTTTATTTATTATACTTATCTAATTATTTCGTTGACGTTCCTATTTTTACTTTTTCCGTAACAACATTTGTAGCTTCTTATATATATTTACTTGTATATATCTACTAACGAAGGTCGATAGGGCTGGGCAGGCTACTTATGTTGATTTGATAAAAATAAAAATAGCTTTCAATGAAACTTGGATATTCAATAAAGATAACTATAATATTTGTGTTTATAAATCTAGCTATTACTCGAGACTTTGTCTACGTGACCGGGATATGCCCACTGACCGGGATAAAAAGCCCATAATCTTCTCCATACTATATTATATGTGTATAATATAGCATGGAGAAGATTATAGGCAAATTTTATAGTAATTAGTTAAGCCGTTAAGGCGCAAACAATTAACAAACAAACTTAATTTTGCATTTACAATATTAGGAAGAATATAAAAATAGGATTTCATATACGGATTATAAAATATTGCAATTTAATTCCAAACTTAAATTACCTAAACCAACATTACTGTATTGAGCAGCCCGTCAATAAAATGTTAAATTAATCTTTTTGTGTTTAGTATTTTTATTCTAATAATTATGAATGCTTAGGGAATAAAGATTTTTCCATTCCCAGGTATGATCGTAGGATGGTATTTGCATAAAACGAAATGTCAAGTGAGAATACCGTACTGGTTAGTGGGTGCTGGATGGATAAGTGCCCTAGCCATCATCGGTAGTCTTATTTTTGGCATGGTCGACGGCTACTTTGAAGTTTGGCCAACTGCTTTCTACGTCAGCATTGGGCACAGTGGTAAATATAGATTTTCACTTTAATTTGAATGTAGAACAACTTAAAATAATTTAAGATTTGGTTCCACAAAAAAAATCAACTTCAATTGTGACAAAATTTTTATTTTTTAGCGATAACAAAAATAATTAAGAATTAATAAGTTCAGAATAAATTACAGGTGAACTAAGCTCTGACTTAAGTCATTTCAAAATGTACAAACAATTTTACGTTAAATTAGTTAAAAATGATATATATATATATAAAATATACATATGCCAAGCGTGGCAACTACTGGCAAAACTGGGAGACCTATGTTCAGCAGTGGATAGTAGACGGTGATGATGATGATATATAAATATACGGGACCAGTACATATATTATTGTAATAATTTGTGGTAGAAACCTCCGAGTCTTTTTGTAATACATATTATGTTTATACTTGAATGAAGGTTACACGCAAAATATTTCGAAATATTTGCTAAGGTAATATCCATGAACTAAAATGGCAATTTGTATGCAATGCTTAAACGTAAACACATGTAAATGTGCATTAACAAAATATAGCCCAATCTCAATACCATTTAAATTATATGTGAATGTTTTGACCGTGGAAGGCTAGGAGGACTCCGTATTTCTAGCAAATAGCTTTTTCACGGTCAGCACGTATGTGTTGTGGCTTTATTTGTTTACTGCAACATTTTATCTCTCAAATTGAATGCAGTATTTCGTCGTCAGTATTTTTCCACATAAACCTATCTACTCGTAGCTTACGAGTACCTGATTGAACGAACCATAAAACAATAATGTTTTACTCGAAGCATTGCTAATAAGACACTATGTAAATATTACTGTTCTCGAGAAATTAAATGTGGTACGTTACGCGACAGTTGTGCGAAATCCTTTTGGGTACATACAGGAAATACGTAGTCATTACAATAATATACTATATATTAATATATCTGTACCGTTTATTAATTTGATATTTCCTTAATATAACAGTTATGACGGTAGGTACATTCATAATAACTTATCGAGTACACTTTATGTCAAGTACATGACAAACAATAAGGAACTAATATGGCTACAAAGAAGATTTATTATCTCTTCTACTGCATTACGCTTAGGTAGGTACTTTGGGAAACATGTCATCTCCATGGTCACTTTTATGTCGAGATCTTATCAGATGTTTTTGTTTCTGTTAATAGAATATAAGATAGACTTTATGTTATCTTAGGGAGGAGTCAAGTCTCCGTAAGTTATATTCCCCGTGTTATATGAAGACGGATGAACCAAGAAATACGAGTATATATAAGGGGTGGTCGTTAGCACTCATTTTTCTTGGATTTGGTGTTCAGAGATATATACTCGTATATATATAATCTTTATTAATTACTAGCTTTTACCTGCGACTTCATCTGAGTGACCAGAATATGTTGAATGGCTGAAATAGTAGTCTATGTCCTTCTTCCTTGCAAATAGTGCGTGTATACCGAATTTTATGACGATTGATTAAACCGGTTAAATGTCAAGAGAGGTGACAAACAAATAAATATATAAATAAACAAAACCACATTCACATTTGTAATAATTAGTAAGGATTAGTTGGAATTAATAGAGCGAGGGATGGGCAGCAGCGACCCTTTTAAAACATCTCCAAAACCTAATTATGATTGCCAACTCGTCTGCCAAGCATGGCAATTACTGGCAAAACCCTCCTAAAGGAGGTTTAGGAGCAGTGGACAGTTAAAAGCTGATATGATGAGTAGGAATTCATCAGTTGTTATTTATAAGTTGTTAAATATAATCATACTGTACATTCTAATAACAACTTGTCCTGTTGTCCCGCACATAATTTATTAGATTTGTACACATAATCAACTTGTTTGCAGCGTGGGGTGCGGCGTTAGCGTGGGTGGCCATCGCATGCTGCTGCGGCTACGGAGGTTTGATCAACTCGGCGTTATCTTACCGCGGCTTCTTGCCACTAAGCAGGCTCACGTACTGTGCATATCTCATCCACCCCACCATCATGGTCATCTCCACATTCCACCTCGATGGTCCACTTCACCTGCAAAATACTATGGTGGTAAGTAACGCTAACAATAATAGATTTTATTTAAAAAAATAACACCGACTCGTAGAAAAACCATTTATGTTGATGAAATATCTATGAGACCAATTTGAAAGTAAATATTTTGAGATAAAAAAAAAAAACAAATTAGTTTATAAATGACGCCATTATGAGAGATATCACAAATAAAAGAATACAATCGAATTGCGAACCTTAACTTTTTTGAAGTTGATATGATTAGTTTTAATAAAAACTGACGCGCACGCCTGTAATACAAAATGCATTATGACTAAAATTACGTAATAAACGATCCTACTGTCATTTATGTCGTGATATTATAGAACATTTGAACGTATATGATACTCTGCATATGATATTTAACAGAATAAAATCCCAAAATAAAAGACACAAAATTCAATGGTGTTGTTGGTATGTTTCTGTATAACATAAAATCATTTTGTGTATAATGGTAATTTTATCTTATTTATACAATAAAATTGTAAGTAGACGATGTCTGTAGGGAGATATTTAAGAAAAATTCATATGAAGGGTCTTAATAAAAACAATACAAGCTAAAACAATATTTTTTAGAAATTTTATTATCAATACAATTTGAAGGAAATTGTAACGTTTCGATTAAAATAACTATATATTAAATCAATACATGTATCTTAACGGGATAAGAAAGGCGAGAAATTTAGGTAGTTGCGGATCTATTTTGAAAACATTTACGATATTGAAAAGAATTTATGGATAACATCAATTTATTATTAGGCATAAATTGCTTCTGTCCATAAATTCTTTCGAAACGATCTGAGACTGTAATTTGTTCAAGGAAAAATGTTTTTTTTTACTGCCCCTGAAGATTCGCTATAAAATACTTAACTCGATATTGTCGACGCTGTGTTTGGAATATATTATGAATTACTTTGTGTTATCCTTAAGGTGTAAATATTAACATTGCCTTCAAGGTTGAAGTTCATTAATCAAAACTAAAAGTTTTACCCTGAAATTTAATAAAGCCTCTTGGGATTTAATAGTCTATTTGGAACTTTATTATGTGTATACTTAACGTTATTAAATTTACTTGTAGTTTATTAGACAATGAACCGACATACAAAATATTACTTATATCCCTATATTAATCTATGACTTTACCCTTTAAAGTGAAATTGTAATAGTGCCTATTACAGTTAAGATAAAATGACATGAATAATGGATTGTGTTAGTACCAATAACAAATATACAGATAAATAAAGATCATGGACTCATATGTTAAAATGTGAACTATCATTGAAAAATGAGGTATTTCAAAATAACTTTATTAACTTAGTCCCTTATAAATTACGTACGTACATCGTAAGACATGAAAAAAGTGGAATTACTTTTCAAAACCATAGACATTACAAAATATGTAAAAATAGCAACAAATTGATTTTTTATCTAAATGTTCTTAAATTGATTTAAGTTATGTATTTATTTCCTCTTTAAGTCTCAATACAAAAAAACATACTGTGAAATAAAAGTGTTTTCACTTAAATATATTCAATTTAAGAATCATTGGATTACATTTTGCCGTCGATTAATAGTGATCCTGTCCGGAACATAGATCTCCAGGCGCAGACTTTGTAAACTACAGTCTTTATTGCAGCCATAAATCTCGTGCCTGGTGACATGGACAGGGACGGACTCGAAAATTGCTCAATGTAAACGAAAACATGCAAATTCGAGATCAACATTTAATTTCAGGGTATTGTGGCGTCACCGCGGTTTAAACTCTTCTAAACAATGTTTTGATGTGAAGCACTTACTGTTTTAAATCGCTGAAGTTGCGTGTATCACTAAGATCCCTTTCTGTAATATTAGTATTAAATGTTATTCTCATAACGGAAAATAATAATGTTTATATACCTATTAACAATGATATTATAATAAAGGTCTACACCTTCCAAGCGTTAGAAAATGAAACCTGAAGGTGATAACATTTGCATTCATTTACGCGCCGACTACAAACATAAGGCATCTTACTTATTCATATTGTTTTAATCACTTCGTCGCTTTTAAATTATTTAACAATATGATAAAATAATTATGTGTGCTGTCACTGTGTACTTAATATTTTTTCTATAACGTTTCTTACATATGGCATGATCTTTCTAAAGAACGTAAAATAAACAACGGCGAAAAACCCCATATCCTAACTGCTCTCGCCCCACAACGTATGCAATGCGTAATAAACAAGCGATAAATGCGCCGGTTATAGAATAGAATGGAAATCATCTTTATTTGAATAGACTTGTTTTCAAGCTCTTTTAAAACGTTATTTTTGTGACTGTCATTATTTTTATGTTCAAAATGTTGTTATCCGTTAAGAATCCACAGGAAAATCAACGGATACTGTTATCAAACCAATTTATATACAAAATAATATTGTATTTGTATGGAAATAACTATAATTAATATTGAGTATTACTTAATTAAAGTGAAATTTCAAAATCACTCTCTGTATTATATCTCCTATATTGGAAAGTGCACATTGTGCATTACTTATTATTTATATAGTATAAAGTAATAGTTTTTACATTATAAAATTCAATGATAACGATTATTCTGTACTAAATTTAAATATATTTTTTTAAATATGTTACAATTTTTGCTTCATTAGTTTTTTGGCCAGCAACCTTTTAAAGATGATTTATATTGTTAAAAAAAAATTCTTCATATTTTCATTAAAAGTTATACAAAATGTATGTATATACTCATATGTTATATATATTTTTTGAATGTGACATGAGTAAGCTAAACAGATCAATAAGATAGAAAGTAGTGCGATCGTAGATAAATGTGGTTTAAAAAAAGATATATTGAATAGGATAAAGAAATGTTGCGCGAATTTGAATATTTAATTTGAATATTATGAGAGCGAGATGTATAGGTTAGTCGGTCAAAATAATATTTATATATTTCTCTTTAACTTTATTAGTAAACATTACAGTTTCCCCAGATGCTCACTAAGAGACAATTGACACTAATACTGACATGAAATAAAAAAGTCAAATTTTTTTATTCATAAAGTATATTTTTGGTCACTTGTTTTAACCCTACCTTTCAAGTACTACAAAAAAAGTGCTCTAAGGAACTGGTTTGTCTATGAAATGTAAAGTTTTAAATATAATATCAAAAGTTATTTTTTTAAAAACGAAGAACGTTGATCAATCGCAGCGGTACCTGACTTGCTACTAAGGTTCTATATTGCTAGGGCATAAACAAGTTATGTCTACGACCAAGGGTAATATTATCTAGAACGGTCTGTCATTCTAGATAATTACACACATCCCTAAACATAAATAAATAATTAAATCAAGTTCAATACTTCTACATTAAAACATAAACAACAATTAGTTACTATAAATCTATCTTTTATATAATACTCTCAATCATTCTTATACATATCTGATCAGTTATGAAAACGTCGAATATTCAATTTCTACGAAATACACAAAATTTCTTATTGGTACATAAAACTTCTAAATATTGCGGCAATATGATAGTGGATTGAACAAAAGTCGATTGAATATGTGGATTATGTTTATCAATGTCAGTTCACTGAATGCTAACGTATTCAGTCCATCAATATTGCAAACGCATCACATTCACACCAGACGGCTCTAACCTTTATAGTGTTTTGTTCACATACATTTACATAACAATAGGCACCTAACTCTCTAATATATCTATATGAATTTTAACGACATACCGTATATTTGTTAAAATTTGAATTTGTGAAATGAAGTACAGTTGTCTCCTTACGTAATAAAAGTTAAATACATAAATGCTTATAGAAAGCTTATGAAATCTATTACTTACTATAGTTGATCTAAAGTGGCAGTTAAAATAAAAAACCATAGAGAATGAGCTAAAACAATCACATAACAAGTGACATTATATAACCGTGAATAATGTTATTCAGATTCACATCATATGAACTTGGTTTAATTTTTGCAGATTTATTATTAATCCATGAACAATGATTATTCACTTGAAAAGCTTTTAACTGCGATTATAGATTCCGAGATCAAATTTCCCGATAATTTATCTGAATTTTTCAAAAGACAAAATTATTTGAAAGTATATTTTTAGCTACAGAGGAATAACACCTGAGTCCTCTGGAATGGCAATGCATGGGGGATATCATGGGCAAAACAGTATACTCTGTTATGTATATGGTACTGATCATGTCTATAGGCGACGGTTACCACTTTACATCAGGTGGACCGTCAGCTTATTTGCCTTTCTAAGTTGTTTAAAAAAAAGCTACCTGCTCTCTTTTTTACCCTTTTTACTTTTTATAATTGAATGATATATAAATTAGATACTCTTTATTGTTTCCTTCAAACAATTACAGTAGCTTTTTATTGTAACTTAAAATGGCAAACAAGTTGATAGCCCAACCTGACGAAAAGTGGTAACCGTTGCTTCTAACGGAATATACTGTTCCGCCCATGATACCCTCCATACGTTGCCAATCCTGAGGAGTAAAGTGTTATGCCTCTGTACCCTGTATATTCGCTGTCAAATCTCACCCTTCAAACCGAAACACAGCCTTTTAAACATAACTGTTTCACGGTAGAAACACGTATGGGACAGAGGTCCCCAAACAAAATAACATTTGTACAAAGTCTCTCTTTGATAAACTGGTAATAATTTTTTTATAGATACCAAAAATTACAAGAAAGTTCACTCACAGAAAACAAGGATTGATGTTTGAATCATTTAAAAAATATTTGTCAGGCTGTGGTGACAATTTATTGAGTCTTACTAATATAATGAATTTTTTATTGGACGATATCTGTACATGATTATATTAAAAAACAATTATGTAAGATGTTTTAATAGGAGCAATAGTAGCCAAAATTATGTTTTTTAGAAATTTTATTTGTCTGTATGTTTGTTCCAATATTACGCAAAAACTACTGCACCAAATTGATTGCAGTTTTTACTGGTATATTTCTAAAGATCTAAATTAAAAACTAGTGTATGTTTTATTATGATATGAGCCTATGATATGAGTCTTAAAGTGATTCATTTCATTGGTTTTCTAACTTCTGAAATTTGCACGTACGAAATAGCAGAATACTACAGTTTTTGTCATTTACTTCATCCTTTGAACGTAAAGCCGTTGTCTGATAAGTCACTTCAAAAGCCTTCATCTACAATGACACCTTCGCTGTAGAGAATCTGAAACCTAAAAAATGTGAACTTCAGACGATTTTACACTATAATAATGTAATACTATATATATAGAAAATAGTTCAATGAAATCCACGTCTTACACTATCAAGAAGTAACAAAACTAGTAGATACACATAGTAATAATTATAATACTAAGAATTAAGAAACAAATTAGTTAAACAATTACAAAACCAAAATACGATTTAATGACATTTATATAATACACCTGCGAGTGATGTATCTCGTAAGCATAGTACCTCCAATAGCTAAGGACGCGGATAGTCCTTAGACCCAAAAAAAAATTACTATATGTCGTTCATCATCAACGTATTGGCATTTAACTGTCCACTGCTGAAAATAAGCCTCCCCCTTGAAGGGTTTTGCCAGTAATTGCCATACTTAGCAGATAGGCACGCATTACAAGGATTGGCCACCGTAGTTAGGCTTTAGAAATATTTTAAGAGGAACGTTGCTGCCCATGCCTCGCCCCTCCTTTGTCGCCTCTTACGACACTCATGGGAAAGGAAGGGGTGGCGTATTCTATGCCGGAAGCAGACGGTCAATACATATAAACACATACATATCTATATGTCATTGAACACCCATAATAAACCTATATGCCAAATTTCATAATTTGATTTCGCCTTAAAAAGGTCAGTCAATCAAACAAACACACTTTTACATTTATAATATTAACAAGTATATATTTTTTGTTTTTGTTTGCAGATCGTGACATATGCTGGGTATGCTGTGATGGCATTCCTATCATCGTTTGCTATTTCAATATCGTTCGAAGCACCAGCCGTGAGACTTATCAAGATCTTGAGCGGAAATGATAGACCAAGAAAAAGGCAGAGAACATAACATAGTGGTGTTTTATAAAGTTATATGGAACAATAGTTTTGTTGAAGCAGTAGTTCATTGTGACAACCACCTATTATTGGAATAGTATTTTATTCTCTTCTAATAAATATCATCTTTTTTTCTTACATCTAGATTTATCGAAGTTTATAGACCAAATATCTAAGTAATCGTTAGATATATAAATGTCTCAGGATGTGACATTGTATTAATTTGTCTGATAAGTATACGTACTATAATGTAAATATTACTTACGTTAAATCATTATACGTATGGGTGAAACTTAGAATATTAAAAAAGTTCCAAAATGTCGACCCAACTGTTGTCTGATGTGAATATAATAAATTTAAATAAATAATACGTATTACAGTTTGTGTAATAATAGTTACCAATTACAATATTAATTTAACTTTATACAATTCGAGAAGCGCGCAATTTAAAACAAAAGCTAGGCCATTTTTGTTAAAGCATTTCTAAGCAGGACTCTATCTACATATTTATGATCTAGCTTATGTCTAATATTACCAATTTGTCCAAAAGTCGTTGGTATAAAATATACCTACCGTTGTATAGATGTAATATAAAAAACTGTATAATATAGACTATCACATAATAATATGAGCACGTTTGTACTATAATATTAATGCAAGCTTGATGCGAAAATTATTTAGTTACAGTTATTCGACAATTCAAACAATTTAACTCGTGGATGAAAATTAAAATAGTATATATACATATATATATTATTGGTTTAAATTTAATCGATCTCAGCCCTTTTAAAAACTAAATTTCAAGCTGCAGAAACTATTTAAATCTATATCGATTTTTTAACTGTATATTATATATGTATATTATAAAATGTATTATATATTTTAGTTATTTAAACTTTATAGACCAATAAAATTTGGTACAAAAGATGGATTTAATGATACTCGTAAAGGCATCTTCTACCAACTATTACGATGTGATAATATTGAAGATTATAATTCTCACTTCTAATCCCTGATGAGGTACTCAGAGGCTATTGCAGTAACACTCGACGCGATTAACTTAACGCAGCTCGATTACTGGAAAAATAAAATCAGATAGTATATACGTACAGTATATTTACATGTAATCACGTCACGTTAAGTCTCGAAAATAAATTTACATATACAGAGAAGTTCTCATTTAACACACATTGTTCTACTAAATATTGTGCCTGTATTTTGCGTGAAAAAAAATGTGGAAATAAAAAATAGACTACACCCGTCTCCATCCCGAATATTGCCTGTATATCCAATTTCATAAATATTAGTGAAGCCTCCCAAGAGTTCCAAGACTTCAAAAGGTTTTAAATTAACTCACTTTCCTATGAGCAAAGATTTCTGAACAAAGTGTTTCATAATTTGTTTATGGAATTACCCACAAATATGTATATACATATCAGTATTTGTTTATTGCAGTACTTACGTAAAATTTTCTCAAAGAGTTATTTAATTGTTGGAAGCATTGCGAAGGTTATTTAAGAAATTATTTCATCACTAATAATTTATGAATAAAAAAAGTAATTTAGTTATTTGAGCAGGTTGCGTAGGTATATATGTAGGCACATATATCTTGTGGACTATAAATTCAGGTCAATGAGTAGTCGTTAACCTAAATTCAACACCACTTGTCGGCACGATTTAAAACGAAGAGCAGAAAAACTGTTCTTTTGCTAATGAAACCCGGCCCCGCCCCGGGGCTTTGTGTCTTTTTTTTTCTTTTACTAAATATAATTTCTCATTTTAGCTACAATTGCAGTAAAACTCGCAAAATTTCTTTCGCAATTGAGTTATTAATTATTCATATTAGATATATATGTACATGAAGCATCTTGGTAACTCAGCGAATTACTAAAATACCTGAAGATAAAGATATCCGAAAAAAGTAAGGAGTTTCGAGTCTGGCAACACGAAAATCTTTGTATATTAATGTTATACGAAGTATATATAATGTTAAAATATTTTTGTTATTATTAATTTAATGATAATGGCATAATTACAACTAAACTAATTAGATAGACTGCTGTCAAATGCAATATACTTGGTCTACCTACGTTTGACTCAAATATATTTGGTGAAATGCGGGCAAGTCAAGTATTATCTGCATTCTCCACAACGGTAATATTATGAAAATACCTACCCCATAGCCCATCAGGGATAACATGTCGAGAGAATACACTTTTTTTGTGCTCCGGTCTATTCTTATCGCTTGTAATAAATCCCGAGTGTCCCGTTCCCATACAAACTATATAATATAGGTTACTACCTTATTGAATAGTTTCAATAAAGTAGTAATTATTTATGGATTATGGATTATTATAAAAAAAAAGTAACATTTAACTATCCCATAAGAACCCGTAACTACTCTCAAATTGAGTACGTTTCCAATTACATCAAGGAAGGTACACCTATCGTGTTGGTATATTTTTTAATCTCCTTTTGAAACTTCGTTAAGTCTGATATAGAGGCATTGTATTCTGTTAGGCAAATACATATTTATACAGAAATATTCTTTGTAATACTAAAAGTATACAAGAATAATAACGGAACATATGTGGAGCACAAAAGCAGTAAAATAAATAAAGAACATGTGCGAAAAGACTTAGATGTTTGGTGAAACGAAAAGCAATATTTGCTGTTACAAAAAATGTTTACTTGCTTTCACTTTTGACTTTCGGACAATTTACACCGCCTAGATAATTAAATATACTTTTGTTGATAAAAAATTACAAAATAATTTATTTTATAAACAAAATTTAAAATATGGTGTTCTTAAAGAAATAGTTATATATACTTACTAATAAATTTTTAATTTTCATAATATATATTAACATATACAAATATTAATCTAAATTACTAATGTGTTGACCTGAATTGACTTAAAGAGAACTGGTTCGAGGTGATGCAATGCAACAAAATTTTGATAAAAATAAGGGAGACTTATGCCCAGTAGTGGATTAACATGGACTATATGTTATAGAAACGGTATAATGCGTTAACAAAATATCTGTGTAAACAATTTCCAATAAATCACACTGTAACAGTCAAAGCCAGGATTTTGTTTCAGCGTTGTCAAGATTAGCCTTGTCAGCCCAAGATTAGAGACGTGCGTTGTATATTTGTTTATTCCATCTATAAATCAAATTAACAATATCTCGTAATCTCCGTAAGCATATGTCATACAAAATGTTTGCCAATACCAATAACAGTTAAATAGTTTATTGACATTTACGATTACAAGCAATATATACCCAACATAGAAAGTAATGACTATGGACCAAAAATCGGTGTGTATCTTTACATATATATACAAATATATATTACACAAGAATATATTATTTTATACCACTATTATTTAAGATATCTTGATTGACATTTACCTTACATAATGCCTATTTCAATACTTTCTTTGACCCATCTTTTTTTTACAACTTTTAGCAATATGGTAACATTTTCTCATATCTATATATTATATCTGTAGATATAATGTTAACCAAATCTTTTTTATTTTGTTAATTTATATTAATTCTTCTAGTAGTTACTCCTACCATTTCTGTATACAATTTATATAAAACCAGTAGTTTCAGTTACTCCTCAATTTATGCTTCCTTAAGTTAGGCTAAATTAAAAGAATACTAACACATTCTTTTAATTTGCACACTATATTTAGGCATATACTACAACATACCATTCTACATCATTTTCTGTAGTGAAAGTTTTATAACGATGATGATAGCGTCTTTAGGACGATGAAGTGATAATGGTTGTCTCTATCGTTCAATAATGAAAAATTATGACAAACGACGCATTTGGTCTAAGCAGGCGTTTCTCGCTATTGCTTTCGAATAACCTTTCAACATTATTTCGGTTTACACTTGCCGCCCATTTCTGTAGAATGAAAATTGTATAATAAAAGATGTGGCTAAAATAAAATTACTTGCTATGTAAAATATTTAAATAAAGAAGCAAATATTTTTTTTATAATTAAATTAGTGCTCTATTTTATTAGAAATCTACAATGATCTACTTTTCAAACGTAACACGAAATAAATGTTTGTATTTTACTATATAATTATCTACATTATTGGTATCACTAATTAATTATTTTACTTATAGATATAAGTGAAATAGATTTACACTAGTCTACAATGAATACACGTTAATTTTTCCATCAATATAAACGATTTGATGAAACAAATCACCGTGTTTCTCTTATAGTACTTGTACTATTATTTATTCTATGATTATGGAAATTATTATAATGATTCCTCAGTGAGACACTACAGTAACCCTCTGCATAAATAAACGGCGTGAACACGAAATATTAACCTCATAACTATTCCTTTAGCAAGCCAAGATTACTGGTGAACATTATGTAAATATAGTGTAATGAGCGATATCAAACATTTTCTTTGTAAATAAGTAGTTTTATCTAATAAAGAATTTATTTAAGTTTCATCATTATTTATTTATTTATGTTTTAACAATCTACCTTTTTAGTTTTTTACACTTCATAATATGGCAAACAAGTTGATGACTTGATGGAAATGATAACCGTCATGGTGTACCATGACTAGCAGTACCCATCTGTTGTCATACCTAGAAACTAAGCTATTATGCTCCATATTATGTAACTTCAAAACATGTATATTCAGAAGGAGACTTTATACAAAATTCAGTTGCTAGGGTACCTCTGTCCCATTTGTGTTTCAACCGTGAAGTAGTTGCGTTTCTTTGGCTGTGTTTCGGTTTGAAGGATGGGATATGGCAGTGTATTTAATAATGGTATCTATGTAAATAGCTTCACCTTCTTTGCGTTAAAATTTCATAGAAAAGTTATTTTATACTAAAATCTATTTCAGATATGGACTAAATGCACAACAATATCAAAAAACAAAAACATGTATGAGATAAGTCTCTGGAACTAATTTGTATACATGATATGATTTAAACTACAAACAACAAAATACTTGATTTCACTAATAAGTAAATAAATAAAAGCTGTTTAAAACTGATAAGCTATTTTTTCAACGCTTTCATGAGAAATGTGAGCAAAAGAAGATCTCAGTTTATTCCATACCCTAAATCAGCAAATGGGGTTAGATTAGATACGTGGCTTTTGTGTCGACGTGCTTACAACTCCGCAAAGGTACTGCCATATCGATTTGCAGTATCCACACCCCCTTACCGTGGTTAGGATAACAGCCTTGTCTATATAGACATATATAGAACGTATGCAACTCTACTATCAATTTGAAAAACACTTTAGGAACCAAAACTTTATAGTGGTAGTTTTACGACTCCCTTGGGATCGACTACCGTCTCACCTATTTCAGCTGTAAAATAGTAATTCTTGTATTCGTATGTTCCAGTTTGAGAACTATAATATAGACAATGTAATCTCTACATAAACCTTAGACTATAAAATATGGTAAAGTAAAAGAGAAAAAACATAATAACATATGATAGAGCAAGAAAGACAAGTAAAACATTTAAAAATATAAGCTCGAAGCTGATTTGGCGGGACTATGAACAGAATAAGCTTTAATTATTTTTACATTTCGAAATGAAATGAGTTTTTAATAAATGTTGTTGGTTACAATTAAGTATGCTGTACCTAAATATAATATAAATTATGAAAAACAAACACAAAGTTGTACATTTTTTACGTAATTACCTATGCTTTAAACATTTATCTTAAATGCAATGTTATAGAACTATCAGGAATATTGTGTACAAGATATGATTAAAAAACACAGTCTCATTTAATTCTCATTTAAACTCAAATAAATAATTTGCCGTGTGGTCCCGGGATAGAATAGGTCACAGGACATAGTATAACTTACTCACGTATATAAGCTTATGGTTAACATAATATTTGAATCAGGATTGGCATGAAGGATGCCTTATACATAATATTGTATAATGTGAGTGATGACGTAAATGATCTGTAATCAATTATTATTTCCATCTGTTGGGCAGTGAAACTATTGCCTACATAAATATCAAATATAGATTATCAGTTTCCATTAGAAGAGCAGTCATAAAGAAAAAATTGGAAAAGAAAATCACAAGAAATTATATACTCATAAATATTAAAAACGTACATGCTCACCTTTTGTAACTTTTCCAAAATTTAATGATCCGTAATTTGGTTCGCAAAGTTATTTATTATCCATCACACTATGTATTTATTTATGCTTATAAATTTTATTGCTATATATATTTTATTCAACTAGAAAGGTAAACAAACAGACAGCCCACCTGATGGAAACCATCGCCTATAGACATAATACCATGGACAACAAAATATATTATACCCATACGTTGCTATTCTTGAGGACTAAGGTATTATACCTATGTACCCTGTAAATTCACTGGCATATCCCACCCTTCAAACTGAAACACAACAATGCGAACACAACTGCTTCACGGCGGAAACACAAATGGGACAGAGGTACCCAAGCAAAAGACTTTTGTACAAAGTCTCCCTCTAGTATATGTACATATTATGTGTATTTATGTACTTGAGATTTTACTTTTTTACCTTAATCTTGATATATACCTATATATGCATAGGCATCATCAAAATTTAATTAACAGAGCTAATACCATTATAACCATTTAAAGTGGCACACAAACTTAGAAATAAATGGTTAAAATAAAATCACAACAAGAAACTTGATGCCCTATGCTGGATGCTATTAGCTTTATAAAGCAACAAAAAATTGTTCCGGTGTTATAATACAAGAGACTTATCCTGTGAGACATGAGCCAATGCGGATAATCCGCACGAATTTGAACACCCGCAGGCCCAACACGGAGAAGCTAATCTCGGAATTCTCCTCCGAGGCAGTCTAGTCATATTATTGTCATCATCAATCTTCTTTGTTGAACAAAATAAAACAAGAACTATTTTAGGAGCCTTTAGCCAAATTGCTATCACGACATTATATAATACAGTTTCATAAAGAATCTGCAACGCAGCTTATATGTATGTAAGTTATATAATTTACGCATATTATCAAGACTTTAAGCTTATTGGAACAAGGTGCATATTTCTACTAAATACTATACTTGATAACAACTTTAATTTATGAATATTATTTACAAAACGTAAAAATATTTATTGTTGGCTCTGTGCGCCTTTTTTAAGCTTTTGTTAATTTCACCGGCGTTAGTCCCCTCAGCGGAGCGGAAACGAAGATATTATATTTATTGTTTGACTTATTTATTCTTAAATGGCTTTTTAAAGGAAAGACGAGGAAATTCTGTAGAGAACACTTCGCTTATATATTTTTTCTACGAATATTAATTACGCTGTTTTCGTCGATTCTAATCAGATTTAATTATTTTTTCAATTTACTTCCGTATTACTCCTGTATTATGTCACAATTAATATTTGACGGTTTTATGATGCAATTATTAATGTAGTTTAATCATTCCACAAATTTTTTAAATTCATTAATACAAATAAAATTTCTAAAATTGTTTGTAATTTTACACATAATGTTAGAATACAAACATGTTTAATTTCGAAATTATATTCTTTTCTGAAATAATTTTTAATACTTAAAAATAAAATACGTACATAATATACTTTTACTTATCATACTATGCTAAAAGGGAGCTTTCGAATCCCCGTGCGAGAAATCCTATTGATATCAGCTTATGGAGATTATCGCAGTGATCGCCCATGGGTCCAACGTCACATTTACAGAAACAAATGTTTTTATTTTTTATTTTTAGATTAAGACCCCAATTTATATATTTATATAATGACATACTGTTTTTATACTTGTTTTAAAATTATTTTCTAAATATATCATATTTTGCTCCTTTTATTATTGCACAGCAATAAGACACTTTCTAAGGTACATATATTTTTAAATAATATGATAGGTTTGATTGTTAATTATATTTTCTAAAATATAAATCTATTTTAATTACGTAAATATTACGTAATTATGTATTAAGTATGTATATACAATTTACTTACAAAAATAAACATATGTTTACATAATTTCAATATTACCTATTAAATTAACACTTACATATCTACCACATTAGTAGTAGATATAATATGTATAAGTATACTAGCTATATCTCGCGACTTTACCCTCGTGTATTAGTATATAAAGTATGCTATGTATAAAGTTAGGATATACCTAGCCGTATACCAATTTCAATTAAAATCCGGTCAGTCATTTAAACGTGATTAAGTAATAAACGTATATACATCTAAATATCCTAACACCTTTACAAATTTCCTCATTTATAATATCTGTAGGATTAATAGGATAATATATATTCATCCTGTTATTATTTTTTTAAATCGAAGCATGTAGTGTTCCATTATTTCTGCGTACCCTATTGAGAGATAGACATAATAAATACATATATTAGTGCAAGAAATATAATCATTAATTTGCATTAATATCAAGTCCGTAGTAAAATAATTTATATTATGTTAATTTCAAAATTGCATTATAATAAAAACTTTAATCTAAGTAAATAGGTAGTATCTATTTACATATATTTAATTAATTTAAGAGACACTTTCAGAACAAAAGCAAAACGTAAAAGAAGACACGCTCCGTAGAACGCTAATGCGCCGTAAACGTAAAATGGTCAGTTAAAAAAGGATGATCACTTTAGAGTTTAATCTTTAAAATTGATTCAAGGAATTCTTAGCGCGCAATATTCTGGATTTTATATCATTATTAAACTCTCTCTTTACAACGTTATTCGGCAACCTTTCGTAGATAGGTACACGCTTTTATAGCCGAGCCGCTCCAGTAATATTAATGTACACCAACAGGAAAACGTTTTTTGATTAACTTCACGAATGCCGATGTAAATTAACTTTTAATCGTTACTACATACAGGTGGTTTTAAATAGATGTTATATTCATTGAATTGTCTGTAATATTTTGGAAATCCACCATATACGGTAATTAAACAGCACTAGCAGTTTTCCGCGGCGTTGCCTGTATGACTGTGTGTACAGAGAATTCTACGTTTTAAGTTAGAATGTAACCACGTACAAAAATAAATACCACGTACCAAATACACGTGTGCCAAATTTGATCGAAATGCGCTCAGCTGTTTAAGCGTGATTGAAAAATAAACATCGAAATATTAAGACAGGCAAATATCTTTACTAACTTTTAAATTTATAATATTAATAGAATTTCTAGACTAAATACAATAAACCAGTTCTCGTTTCCCCGGAAATTTAAGAGAAGAAAAGATCTTTTGTTGTATATAAATTAAACCACGAAAATTATGCAAAAACTTTGTCACAAAACCCTAAAATTATTTTGATGAATATTTTCGACAATGAATCCCTCTACTTAAAAATACAAAAATCACTGAACTCTATCTAAAACAAAGCTCGTCTATATTAACTTTAAGAATCTGCTAATTGGTATTTCGCATCAGCTATAAAAAAGAAA